CACGCCATGTTGTTTTCGATGAACACACATTCCCTTCCTCACCTCATTCCCCCGACTCCACTAACTCTACCGCTTCCCCTCTTGATTCTCTCTCTGATTGGTTACCCAACTGTCGGCTCTCAGACATTGTTTGGCAAACCCTCACTCCATTCTCACATGCTCCATGTGAGGAGCCACTCACCTCACCTCCCACAAATTCAGAGTTGGCTTCCAATCCTACTACCACGCCTACAACCATCATTCCCACTTCAAATGCTCCCTCTTCTCACCCCAGGCCTGGCCCACCAACTTCTAATACTGTGTTGCCCAACCCAGTCCAAAAACACCCCCATCTACTAACGTCTCCTCACCACCACCTCTTAACCCACCTCCACCCACCCGAACTCATCCCATGTGCACTTAGTCCCAACCTGGGATTTTTAAGCCCAAATTGTACAACAGTTGCTACCCTCTTCCCTTAGCCCTCCTAGTTGTCCATGTGGTGGAGCCCACTTGCTTTTCTCAAGCCCACAAACACCATGAATGGTGTGAGGCCATGGATCATTTCACTCACTCCAAGAACAAGGTACTTGGACTCTTGTTCCAACCTAACCACACATGAACGTTGTGGACTATAAATGGGTTTATCGTGCGAAGTAGAATCCCGATGGGTCTGTCGACAAATTTAAGGCTCGTCTTATTGCTAAGGGTTTTCTTCAATAGCCTGGTGTGGATTTCATTGAAACATTAAGCCTGGTGGTTAAGCACACCACCATTAGAGTTGTTTTATCTCTTGATGTCTCAAACAATTGGCCACTTCATCAATTAGATGTTGAATGCGCCTTCTTGCATGGTGACATTCACGAAGAGGTATATATGGCATAGCCACCAGGTTACATTGATCCTGCTCGTCAATCCCATGTGTGTAAAATGATAAAATCTATTTATGGGCTTCATCAAACGCCACATGCATGGTATGAGAAGTTCAGCTCTACACTTACAAACTTTGGCTTTTCAATCTCTACTTCGAATCCATCATTGTTCATTTATCATCATGGCCATATTACCATATATCTGTTCTCTACGCCGATGACATAATTATTATAAGGAATAATTCTTCCTTCATCTCTTTATTAGTAGCAGCCCTTGGCAACCACTTTAAAGTGAAGGATTTGGGCTCCCTATCCTACTTTCTTGGAATTCAGGTCCACCGCACCACATAAGGCGTCACTCTTACTCAATCTAAGTACATCTTAGATCTTTTGCATTGGCCCAACATGGTTGACTGTAAACCCATGGTTACACTTGCATCTTCTGCTAAACTAGGTCATGATGACAGCCCACCACTAGTTGATCCTACCATGTACAAGAGTATTGTCGGTGCCTTTCAATATGTGACTCTCACTAGGCCCGACATATCCTTTGTTGTGAACCAAACATGCCAATTTCTTCACTCACCCACTAAAGCCCATCTCATCATGGTAAAACAAACATTTCGTTACTTAAAAGGCACTATACATTATGGGCTCACTTTGCGTCCAGGTCCACTTTGACTTCTAGCCTATTGTGGTGTTGATTGGGTTGGGTGCCCTCTGGACTGATAGTCCATGAATGGCTTTTGTGTTTTTCTCAGCTTCAATCCTATCTCTTGGAGCGCTAAGAAACAACCAACAGTCGCTCGCTCCTCCACTGAAGTTGAATACCATTATCTTGTTCACACTGTTGCTGAACTCTACTAGCTTTGCTCTCTCTTTCATGAACTTTGTGTTCCTATTCTTGCTACTCCTCTCATCAGATGTGACAATGTCTTAGCCATTGCCATGACCACCAACCCTATTTTTCATGTCAGATCCAAGCATATAAAGGTGGACTATCATTATGTACGTGAAAAGGTTGTTTGTAAACAGCTTGAAGTTCAATATGTATCCTCATCGGACCAGCTAGCTTATATATTTTCTAAAGGCCTTTCATCCACTCGCCTTTCCTACCTGCTCTCCAAGCTGAACGTCGGTTCTTCTTCATTCCACTTGAGGGGGGATGATAACGGAGACCCACATGATGTACATACTTGTGATGCTTATCCAGTTCATGTAGATAATCGTGTTGACTCTCCCAAGCCCTAACGTCTCTACATGCCCAATGTACAGAAGAGATGTAGATTACACAAACAGCCGATGCATCCTTATCCTTACAACCCTTGTATCCTATCATGTTAAACACTATAAATAAAATTGAAAGCGACTGCCCAATAAGTGGGTTTTTCAGCCACCTAAATACATCGAAAGTCTCAACAATTTCAATATGTACCCTAAGGTTTGAGGCAACTGCTTATATATACTTTGTTGAACTTTCAAATGTTAAGTATAATAGAAGAATAAAGTTGCCCTTCACTATTCATTAATTTTTCAAAACATGCCATTGTTGTTCTTCTTTTCCTTCTTCCTTCCCTCTTCCTCTCTTCTCCATTGCTGCATACACAATTGAACAAGAGCAGGGAGTGCCCACCTTCTTTCCTATTTCTCCCTCTTTCTCATTCCCTCCCCCTTCCTCTTCTTCTTCTCCTTCTTCCTCTCTTCTCTTCCTCCCTTCCTCTTTGCTTCTGCTAAGGTTAGTGAACAAGAAATAACTTGCCCTTCTCTCTCTCTCTTTTCTTTCTCCCTTCCTCCCTGCTTTGTCATTGCTAAGATCACTATTGGAATTGCACAACGAAAATAATGTAATATGTACGTGCACAGAAAGAAAATAAAAAGCAGATAGCAATAGAGAAAGAAAAAGAAAGAGAGAACACCAGATTTACGTGGTTCGGCCAAAATGCCTACGTCCATGGGCAGCAGCTCGGAGCTTCCTTCTTACTATAAACAGGAGAAAATACAAAGATGACCTCAACAAAATCACACCCGTACCCAACACTCAATACACCCAAACACAATACTCCTCTCAGCACACTGCATACACTATACACTGAAATGAAATGGAGTATGTTTTCAACTAACATAGGAGGGACCCCTATTTATACTTGAGCTTAGGGGTATAATGGGGTTTTTTAAAAATTTTCTTCATAATTAAGCAAACAATAAAATGGTGTGCCACCGAACAGAACGGTGTGCCACTGTTCAATATGGCGGGCTCAGCTCGATGGGCCACTGATTGTAAATTCGATGAGCCACCGACTGGCCCACCCTTTTTTACTTTTCAACAATCACCAAACATTTAACTAATTTCTAAAACCAAATTAGGTGTGCCCTAGCTTTTTATGTAACTATTTTATAATTTCCTCTCTTAGCTTAAGGTGCTCTTTGTAAAATTTAATCAAAACTGATTGCTCCACATTTCCTTTTCTTCAAGTAGAAGAAGAAGAAAGAGGGAGAGAATGATTTGTAATGGGATGGGAGCAAGTTGGTTTTCTAGAAGACAACATTATTAACGGTTCTAAGGCCCTGCTTGATTTCACTTAGAATAAGTACTTGTTAAGTGTTGGGACCATACATTAAGTGGTAATTAAGTGCTTATGCATGTTTGGTAAAAAAGTCACCAATAAGTACTTTTTAAAAAAAAAGCACTTATAGAAAAAGTGACCTGATAGTTGCTTTTTTTTTCAATGCTTATTGGAGAAGTGCTTATTCGAATAACATGAGACGACACAATCCCTAATATTTTTCTAATCCCCAAACTACCCCCGCACAAGGATTTTCTTCTCTCTTCTTCCATTCGAACTCTAAACACGTAGGGGGTGGCACACAATACCTGGTTTATGACTGGCGATGACCAATAGTGAGAAAAAATGACCGGCGAACCATTCATTTTGCCAATGACTACTGATTTTATGCATTCATTGGTCGACTTGAACTATTTTTTTTGGTTTTCTTAGAACCCGAAATTCCCCTCTTTGGTGTGTTCTCATATTTGTCTTGGGTGAGTTTAACGGTGACAACCCACCGTCCAGACACCATCGAAAGAAGGTTAGTTTGCCCAAATGAACCCCCTCTATGTTGTTATTGTTGTTATTATTATTATTATTGTTGTTGTTGTTGTTGTTATTAATTGGGTCCACATTGCATTCCACATGTGGGCCCATGTGGGCTCTCATGTGTCATGATGTGATGATGTGGCGATTTTTCATTGAAATGTATAGTATAATATGTGAAAAGCATTGTTTATATGTACAAGAGAAGTAAAGCTAAAATTGTCATTTATGCCAACATAAACACTTGTGGAGAAAGTAGCTCACCAAACAACCTTAAGTGATTATTAAAATAAGCACTTATAATAAGTACTTGTGCAACAAGTACTTATTTTAACAACCACTTGATCACCAAACATAGCTTCAATAAAGATAAAATATGAATTAAGAAAAAAAATCTAATTTTTGCTATTGACGGCCTTTAATAATTCATCAATGAAAGCACTGCTTATATTATATGGGATTAGATTAGAAGGCATATAGAAGTAGACCTCGAAATTATAGGATATATCCAAATAGTTTTGTAAACCAAAGGGTATGTATAAGTAATTTACCCCTTATTTATTTTTAATTTGACATGAATTGATTGCTTTTTAGGGGATTTGGAAGCATATGAAATGTTGGGGGCTTTGGGGTTATAGATAATTAGTAAAGTAAAGAGTGGTTTTTTTCTTTCGTTTTTTGGAAAAATTACAAAGATCCTTTGTATTATGGAATTTGTGACAAGTACTTCTTAAACTTTCATCTCTCACATGATAGAAATATATTAATTTACCAAAGTGTCGACTCAAACTTTTCTTACTTTATTTTTTCTTTACCCTTTTTTTCTCTTACACCCTAAGCTGTGTTTGATTTGAAAGAAAAGATAAAAAAAGAAAAGGAAAGATAGGAAAACCCATACAAAAGGTCTGCACCAAGTTTCTCTGTTTTTCCTTTTCTTTCCATACCTTTTCCTTCAAACCAAACATAGCCTAAATGATAAAAAATACCTTCATTTTCTCCATTCAAAACTAGGTAAAATAACAAGGGTCATTTTTCGCTACCAAGTCAGGTAAAATTTTGTCCTAACTATCAAACGACCAAGATCTTTTGAGACAAGGAGGGTGCCAGGAGGATCTACCTGAGTTCACAGACTTTTTCGGGTACGTGTTTTACGCCCGCTCACATGAGAGCGACGATTCTGACTAAATAATAATTTGCCGGGAAATCAATCAACCCGACCGTGACGAATCTCGGAGTTTCGCTGCGTTCTTCCTCAACTAAAGCAAATGAAACCGATGAAGGGAGATATCGTCGTCAGTCACCTTCTAGGGTTTGCTATTCTGAGCATCTTAACGGCAAACGGGGCTCTAAGTATTCGATTGCCCGATCGGATCACTGAAGGCGTAAAAGACTCCTCCACTCAGCCTCTGAAAACCGCTGTTTTCGCTCTCGGAAGCTTTTGGAGATCGGAAGCTGCCTTCGGATGCTTGGATGGCGTCATACGAACAACTGTTGGTTACGCCGGAGGAACTAAAACTAATCCGGAGTTCAGAAGCCTGGGCGATCATGCTGAATCTGTTCAGGTTATCTTTTCTTCTTTTCTTTCTTTCTGATTAGTACCCATTGGGCTTCTAGGATACTTCTATCCCTTGTGAAATCTAGGCGAATTAGATAGATTTTTTTATGAGTCTTTACGTTTATCTGGATTGAACGTCAATGAGTTATTGGAGATAAATTCATCACGTTTTTTCTCTTCCTCTATTTTTATTTTTCTTTAAAAAATTATTTTCATCAGTTCTCTGCCGAAATCTTGATGCTTTGCCCCACACTGTTTGGATTTAGTTTTAAGTGACCATTCTCTTTTCCGCTGATATCGATTTAGTGAAGAAGGCTATTTAATTGGACGCTCTCTTTGTTGATTGTGGAAGGCCAATGGTAAAAAATTGAACAGGTAGACACTTATCCATCTGTTCGTTGCCTTCAAACGGACATTAGTCTTTTACTCTCTTCCATCCGCATCAATTGACGACATTAGCGTGTCATGTATCAGCTAAATTACGTTATGCTGTATCATTGAAGTTTAGTGGCAGCTTTTTCAACCTTTGTCTGACACCTTGTTTCATTTCTAACATGAGCTGGCTTAAACATCATAGGAGGGTAAACGGAAGGAAGTGGTCTGTGATGATTGTGCATTTTGGATTAACTCATTAAAACCTTACTCCAACTATCTGGGGTTGCCCCGATGCATCCTGCTTCATCATCCATCTCTATCATGTACCATATCTTTTACTAAATTGTGAATTTGTGGTTTCATTGCTCTGCCCTGATCAGCTCTAGTGGTTGAGATAAGATGTTCTTAAGGGGACATGTACATCAAGTTTGTTGCCTGTAGTTTGCCCATGTGTTAAAAGTGGCATTGTCAGTTCCAATGTCTATAATCATCCTCAGGGGAGTTCTGAGGACACAGTCTGCCCGGTAACTAGTTTAGCTCTATGGTTACTCAGTGAAGGAGCCAAGGTCGCTAATGATCTATATCTTAGTCGTCTCAAACTGTTCTATGTATATCTAGGCAGAAAATCAAATCGACAGGCAATACTTTTCTGACTTTGTACTGTCTATACAGGTAGTTCTTGTGTGGAAATTTCCCCTTAGTATTGGATTTGGCATTTGGCAAGTAATCAATTCTTTTCTCACTCTGTGGCTAGCTCACAGGTTTAGTATGCTAGTAGGAAAGAAGATTAAAACAATTTTAAACCCATCTCATGGCATTGACTCCTTACTTTACAAGATTAGGATGTATCCTTGACTTTGTTTAGTGTTGGGGAAAATGTTTAATTCTGAAATTGTTCTCTGATATTAAACTTCTCTCAACCATTGATATCATAACCAAAAGAAAAAAAAAATCCTCTGTCATCACTGAATCCTTATTACAAGAGATTGATTTTCACCAAACCCATGAAGAATCTACATCTTAGGAGACTGAGAGACTCATAAGTGATCATAAGGTGGCTGCAGAATAAGAAGATGTTTTGTCAATCTACAAGAACGAAATGAAAAGTTTAAGTGCTTGATGAGAGATATAGATGTTAAAGTTCATTGGGTGCATTGGTCAACCAATGGTATAGCTGACTCCTCAGCAAAACAAGGGGTGGGGAGAAGAAAAGTGATAAAAAGGATGAAGGGTAGGGAAGAGAGTTTGGATGGGAAATAAGATGCTTTATCTCTATTTCAATTTGCTTATTTGCACTTCTCTTTGTTTGCTTGTCTCATTAATAAAATAAAATTTACAGTTACTGATAAAAAAATCTACATTTTAGGGGACCATTTCCTGGTGTATGGTTGTTACTGTAGATTGATAGAACTTGTTAGTTCCACATTGAGATTGGGCCCCATTTCCCAACCTTTCTTTTTTGGCATTTGCTCCTTCATGCTTTTGGCTGCTCATATATGTCATACAGCTATCTAATTCTGTTGTCCTCTGAATAAAATGATGTTTCTCTCTTTTTTTTTTATTCCTTTTCCCACTCTCCTTTTCCAATAAGAGAAAAGAATGTATATTCATAGACTCTGTACAACGATCATTGAGAGACACAGTTCACACTGTTGGTTTTGAAAGGGCCTCAGGATAGTACTGGTTCTTTTTACTATATAATGTATATGGTTATAATTCTCAAGGTAGGCAACCTCTCCCAAGATCTCAAATAGCCAGGACCATCATTGGTGATGACCCTTTTTATCTCCACATTCCATTCAGTGGAGGAAATATTGTGGCCTTTGTGCTTTTTCGGAGGGACTTGCTCAGGCTTGCAAAACGTTACTTACAAGGAAATGCCTGCCAACCCTTGCACATTACTTTTTGCAAATGAGCATTTGCAGTGCATAGTAAGCACAGAAGTTGGAAAAGATTCAGATGATTCCAAATAGAACTAACATGTCTTGGACAATTACCAGTACCACTTATATCATTAACATGCTTGCATAGGTTGGGGATATTGTGCTGACTGAAGAGGTTATGGCTGACACCAAATAGCAAAAGATAGATACCAATTTGCAGAGTTTCTTTTGGAAATACATGCATAGAAAGAATTGCCAAATGGAGAGCTTGGTGCACAAGAGTTGATAGATTCCTATATTCCATTTTATAATTATTGAATCCAAGTGATTTTTCTTTTTGTTATTACTTTTATTGTTATTGGTATTTGTGAAGCTTGCTTGAATGTGCTACCAGCATAGGTGATTCATATGGTTGAGGCTATCAGTGAGCTGAGCCTATATGTATATGCATTTTTTATACACCAAAAGAAAAATAAAGAAGTATTTGTTCCCAATCTCTGCAAAAGTGCTCAAACTCGTAACTATGAAGATCATTCAATATTGGCACCCAAAAGAATCAGCTGTCTTTCTATTTACTCTTTGATCATGTTTACTCAGGAGCTCTTTCTTTCAAGGTTATGATGGTTTTCTTTCTTAAATGGAAATGACCCATTTTTGCTTTCCATTAATCTGTAGTACACCTTTGCAAAGAAGCATCTAATTGTGTCTATTAACTCTATTCTGCATATCTTATCTTTACCTTCCATAGAGGGGTGCATTAAAAGCATTGCCAACAGATCTCTTTCCAATCATTAGCATGTCTACATAGCCGAGGGCAACAGACCACTTCACCCATGGTCGTCAAGGCGACGCCTAGGTGGGTGCCTAGGCAACAAGGTGCCCTTGGAGGCTCGCCTTGCCCAGTCGCCAAGCAGTTTTGCATACTGTGTAATAAAATACTTTTATATTGTTATTTTTTTTGAGATTATAATTATAAAATAGACATTATTAAAGAAAAATATTCATTTTTTGTGTTTATAAACTAGTTTCTATTTATTATTTTTCTTATTTGTTAGGGTTTAATCAACACAAACATTGTTAACTGCTGTATTGAACTCTCAATGACTTCAAAATATGAACCAATAAGTAAGGGAAGAACTTAAAATTTTGTCTAATCAACTCACTTCTTCTTCTTCTTCTTCTTTTCTTCTTCTTTTTTGAATTTTCTTTCCCTTCTTTTTCTTCTCATAACTAAGTTGATTTTCTAGACTTAAACATGAAGTTTATAATTTTCTTATGAAAACTATGGATAGTTATTAAAGAAAGATGGTTATGGAACCGCCTAGGCGACAAGGCGCCCCCCTGTCACCTAGCCTCGTCTTGGCGCCTTGAAAACTATGACTTCACCACAAATGATTTCATAGAAGTCTCTAACTATAACATCAGTAAAAGAAACCATCCTGATCCTGCACCTGGTTGGGAAAGCTAAACGTTTAGTGGAACTTTTATACATGTGATGGCAGAAAGTCCTTCACTTGGACCAAAACTATAAATCTCCTGAAATCAGGTGAAAAAATCATTATTATCCTTGAAACAGTTGTTCAATTAGATGATTGTGGTGCTAGGGTGCTAGGATTCTATGGTGTTTTAAGATTCCATACAATGTTTAAGGATTCTATATATGATGGTGGAAGAGTTTGGGCCTTGGTGCAACGGTTAGGTTGCTCCATTGTGACCTGAGTGACCAGGGTTCAAATCTTGGTAACAACCTCTCTGTGTATCTGCAGGGGTAACACTGTGTACACCTGTCTCTCCCAAGACGCTGCATTGGCAGGAACCTGATGCATTGGACTGCCCTTTTATACTTTTTGTTTCCATGCTCATCTAAATGGGGCTAATGGCTAGTAGAACTGATGAACAAACTTCAATCGACTGATATTTTTTCTTCATGACTATTATTACCTAAACAAACATGCACTCACACACAAACAATAAATAAGTAGTTGATCCTTGCAGGCATCATAGTTCATGTGTTCTTGGTATGAACAAGGATGGTAGAGATCCATTTTACTGTGGCCATTAGTCTAGCCCAGTTCTAACAACATACATGTTTTGCAGATTGAATATGATCCCAAGATTATTAATTTCAGGCAGCTTTTGGAGGTCTTTTGGTCTAGTCATGATTCTAGGCAAGTTTTTGGACAAGGTCCTGATGTGGGTAACCAGTACAGGTAATATATTCATAACCTACATCAACATTTTCTGGCTTTATGTTATCCCAGTATTCAGTTAATGAAGTGTGCTATGTCTGCAGGTCAATAATCTTCACCAATGGTACTGAAGAGACTAGAATAGCTTCTGCAAGCAAAGAAAGGGAGCAGACAAGATCAAAGAGTAGTATTGTGACTACACAAATTCAACAACTGAGAATGTTTTATCCTGCAGAGCCTGAACATCAGGTACTACCTACTTGTTAATTCTCTTTTCCTTATGCAGATTTTCCTTGCATGAATGCAACTTGGTAAATACCCAGAATTAATCTGAATTGTAAAACACAAATTAAGTGTTTAGAATGCCTACCTTGGGCGTTGAAAATATTTACTGCTCATCCATGTTGCAACTTTGGCAGAAATTTGAACTGAAGAGAAATTATTTTCTCCTTCAGCTTATTGGTAACATGCCCGAAGAGGAACTTGTAAGATCAACTATAGCAGCAAAACTAAATGGCTATGCAGCAGAGCTTTGCCCTCCAAGGACCCAAAGGCAAATTGATGCCAAGATCAATGACATCCTTCGAAAAGGGTGGCCAATATTGAGAGACGTGTAGTTAAAGATAGGTTTTGAGTCTTTATGCTTAAGTTGGCAAGATAGAAGTCTGTTTGTTTCCCAAGTTGCCCCCTTGAGCTTGTTTCCCAAGCTGTGTTTGTTTGTTTTTTTTTTTTTTTTGGGGGGGGGGGGGGACTGATCTTCAAGTAATTGTTGTATGTCATATCTACTGTTGTACTAGTAATGCTGGTCAATGGGTGTCAGCAGCCATGCCATTGCAGTGAGTGCATAATTTTTTCTTGTGGTTTTGAAATCCAGAAAGTTTCAACGTTCTCTGTATTTGAGAGGTTGGAATTGAATGTCAAAATGGTAAATGTAGCTTTCTTATCAGCTGTTCAAAGGAGCCTTGAGGAGTAAATAGTTTTTCAGTTTCACCAACAATATATCGTCTTCAGTATATTTTAAGAGAAAATGCAAATCCGCATTGCTTCCCCACCTCAAGAGCATTCCAAGTTATGATGCACTGATAATCCAGTTTCCAGTGTTTGAAGCTTGAACCATTTGATCAGTGGCAACTCTACCGGTAGGTTGATCACAGCAAAGTGATAAGTTGGACGACGTTACAGTTGCAGGTGGCAATGGCATGATGTTCTCTCTGCGAATTTGATCAATGTGCTACAAACTTGTGAAAATATTATTTATTACAGTGCCTGCCTTGGACCCATCTTATATTGAAAAGCAAAATCTGCACTAAACATCTTAAAGGATCTTGAAAATACCCATTAGGCCATTATAATGAGGTGTGTATCTCTTGAGCAACCTTTTTCATACGTTGAGAGAGAGCGCACTAGCTCTTTGCAATCACTTTCCAAGATTAATAAGCCAATGCTTCTGCTATTTGGGCATTGCGTTCCTCCTCCAATCTTTCTTTTTTGCTACTACGGTTTGCTCTGACTAACACGCCAAAAGAATATTTGCCTATATTATCATATCCACCATTAGACCTGTTCATGGGCCGAACAGCTCGATGAGTTGGGCTGGCCAATTCTAAGTCGGGCTTGGACATGATTTTAGACTTGTAGGCATGGGTTTGGGCTTTCTCAAAAACATCCAGCCTGACCCCGATTTGATAATATATATTATAAAATAAAAATATACATACAATAGTTTTTCTTTGTTTCTCTTAACTTTTTTCAAGTAATAGCGAGGTTTTTTTATTATTTTTGAATTTTGAGGGCTTTTAATATAAATAAATAAAACACTGCTTGTTGAATAAAAAAAGAAAAAAAATATTTTCAATTTTTTTATATGAGGGTTGGGCTCGGGCTTGAATGCATTCTGTTTATACAGAGACAAAGATCGGCCTGTGAACATCCAATTGCTTCTATTCTCTAATCAACATCCACATTTTCTGCCCCATGGTCCAATTGCTTCCAGAAAGCTTTACCCCAACCATGCAGAGATTCCATTCTAGAGTTTTTTCTTTTTTTGAGTATTTTGGTGATACACCAGAATAAAGTCATCTTCCTCTCTTAGCTCCTGACTTGCAATATAAAAGTTGAATAGAACAGTAAGGCCTTATTTGGGAAGTATTCATCATGTTCTTTTATTTTCTAAGTAAATAAGACAATCACTGTTTTAGTTATAAAAAAACATTATTAAAAGGAGCAATTTTATTTCATCCAAGCAAGGTGCCAACCAGCTGGTCGGTAGGTCTCCTGCTGATTGTAGCGGAGATTGGGATCAAATTTTGCTTACACTTGGGTTGGGGGATGGGCTACCCCCGTTTGTGTAGCCCTTCAAAAGGAAAAGGAAAAAAAAAATGCTACCCCCGTTTGGGAAAATTACTTATTCACCTGTGAGATGGGTACATGAGTAAGTAATACTTAGGAAAATGTTTTTTGTGGATCTTACATAAATTTGAAAAAAAAACATGGGTATCTAGGTCAATGGAAACCAAAATCTTATGACTGACTTTCTCCCTCTCAAAATCTGAAAAATGAATGGATACTCAATTTAAGACACATGTAACATATGTCAGCATCATACATGGAACCTAAGGTGGCAAGTGAGTGCTCTCTAGGACGATCTCGAAAATAGAAGAGAGATAGAGGTGTTGCGTTCATCAAAACAATGATATATGTACGGTCGTTAAATAGTCGGATAAGACATCTCATTTAAGAGTTGTGGAAGATAATCTTCTTCACTATGGTTTATTAGCATCAGTGCTTTTAAAGCGCTGTTGACCCTGATGGTCAGACTGTTTGGCCTGAAAACTGTAGGCAACCAATTCCGTTTTACATTAAATTCGGTCTTCGACCAGTTGAATTGGTTAATGGTTATTGACACGGACAGTTGAATTATTGATCTATTCAACAGTTTTATATATATTTTTTTATTTTAATTTGTTTAAATTTGTCTACGCAATTCATTCAAATCAGATGATCGAATTGTCAATCCAAAAACCGGTGGCCAAAATAATTTCAATTTTGAGTCAGTTTTTAAAATCTTGATCAACATTTTAGTTGCTAAATGCAAGACAATAATCTTCTTTCACTTTGGTCATCTATCATTATACAAGAAATGATCACCGAGTATAGTTGAATGGATTTAGCCCTAAGGGGCCTTCCAAAAAATTTAGATTGGAACGTGAAAACCCAAACTCCACTTGCTCCATGCCTATGCCAAGCGTCTTTGGTTTGGCGCTGAACCCTGGCCATCTGGGTATTGATATGTGAAATTTGGTTCCATTACGTCGGTCGTTTGGGCTTTGGCGCATCCTTCACCCATCCATTGTTCACCCTCACTCTTGGCCAATGGCAAGTCCAACTTTAACTGGTCGAGTTAGAAACGAGAGTTGTTGGTACTAGACTAATATTGTGCGGGGCAATTGAAAGTGGTCACTCCTCCGGTTCATTCGGTTTGATTCATCGTTCACGTATTCTATTCCCTATTCGCCTTAGATTTATTTACGGGCTGGGTTTTACCTTATCAGGTCTAAGTTCAAGTTCAGTCCCATCAGAATCCGAGTCTGACTATATAGTCTATATGTCCGACTTTGACAAATATTTTATAATATATTAATTATATATTATTTAATATTATCGAGCCGGATTTATTTGAAAAAATCGAATCCGACCGAAAAAAATCGAACCCGATTTTTAGAGCGCGAGCCCGCGAGCCGTGGGAAAGGATATGATAGTCGTATGAGAATTTCGTAGGGATGGTTTTGTAATTTAGGTAGAGTTGGAAAAGCTCAAAAACAGTTGTTACTAGCGTAGGGGCTAGGGCTGAGTTCTTGGAGGTTTTGCTCCATTTTTCTATCTTGACTCTTGAGGAGCTCTCCTTCTCTCATTCATTTTAGCTCCGACTCGTCAAAGGTTCCATGGCGCCGCCTCCTGGTCCTTACTCCGGTACCAGCACCCTCGCTCTGGTAATCTGTCTACTATTCTGATTTCTCTTCCTCTAAACTCGTTGTGTTTCACCGATTCTTCAACTTTCCCGCTTTTGTTTTCCCTACTGTTGCAGGTGGCTCGTGCTTCAGCCTTCACCTTCGGCATCGTTTATGGAAGCCTGAAGCTCAAGTATCTCAAGGTACTCCGGTCGTCACTATTGGAATTTTAATTGCACATGTGTTGATGCCACTTTAATCAGATCTACCGGTATTGCTGATTTTGAATGATCTAAACTGGTTTTTGCTGGAAATTGAAATTCTTTTCAGTGATATTGTTTGAAAAATTTTAAGCTTTGACCTTCTAGCAAGGATTGGTGGTTGATTAGATCGTATGGCTGTGGGATTTATTTTATTTTACTTTATTTTTTTTTTATATCTGGAGTGTTGTTAAAAATATGTTGTTGTCGTACATATTATACCATCAATGTATTTTTTTTCCTTTTTATTTTCTGTATTTGCTACATCGATTGGATTTGAGTTTTTTTTTTCTTGATAAGATCGATTAGATTCGAGTGTTGAGTGCACGGGTTCGACTTAGCTATTTGATCGAAGTTATATGTCAATTAATTTGGTACGTGCTGCTGTATATGTAAGGTTTGGTTCTTGACAATGGTATAATTACAGCATTTCTGCCTCCAAGGCGATGCTTTGGAAGCTGCTTTATCGATTAGATTAGAGGAACCGAGTCCAGAAGACCTTCGGTTGACTGATCTTACTTTATTGTACACCTACATTAGTAAATTGCTCAGGGAAAAAGAAGCTAGGAAGTGCCTGGTGTGATGTTACCCTATTTTGATGGACGCAATGCCACTAGGATGGAAAAAGCTAGGTTTTTGTTTAGCTCTCTGATTCTCGGTACCATAGATTGACGTTGAAATTTCTGTAAGTGTTCTTTGGGAAATGGATCGGCTTGTCATTTACTGAATAAATGGTTTTGCACATTGTATCTACCCCAGCCAAGTTTCCCAAGCTATTTTCAAATTCTAGTGATGTGAGAAAAATGGTTCATAAGGTCTAAGTACTAAATTTGTCATATTGATTGTGCTTGTTGGGTTTTCTTACTCGATGATGTGAAATGCAGAATAGTGAAAGACCAAGGGCAAGTGCAATAACTGGAAGTGTCTCTCTTAGGTAGCAGCTTTTGTCAGAGTGACAAAAGGGCTTTTATGATATCCATGTAGGACCTGGTAGAGAATTGTGCAAGTACAATAACCGGAAGTGTCATTCTTTTACAGTGGATAGACCAAAGGCAATCTAGGTAGTGTAGCCTTGCTTGACTTGTCAAACCCAAATCATTGGCATTTTAAACCTCTATGTGTATTTCGATTAGGGTGGCCTTGAAGTTGGAAGCAAAATTGGAATTGTAAGTTCCACAAATATCCAGATTCCATCATTTGGGCACATTTTCTGGCACTACTTTTTTAGGACAAATGCAGAAAAAAACCATGATTCTTTTTATGGATAACATAAAAATCATTAATACTACATGTTAATGGAATTAGGATACCATCCCACGTCTATTCGTTTCATATGTGGAATCAAAAACTCAAATTTATTCAATTCCATGATCAAATGCAGTGCTAATATCTGGTTCAGATGATTCAAGCTCTTGAGTTTTTGCACTTAGGGAAGCAATCTCATGTATGATTGCTTTGAAATCTGTCTCCCTTATCTATAGTTGGCAGGCTTTCTCTTTTAGGAAGTTATCTTTACTTTCTTTAACAGCATATTTGCACTGGAATAACTTGATCCAAATTAGAGCATTTTTTTATGAAGAATTCAGCATGTACACTTGATTTTGGCATCCTGAGGCTAGCAGATCTTGCACAGAACCGTTAAAATTGTCCAGAACCTAAGAGTGAAAGGATATGGAAAGTAATAAAATTCCTAATGATAAAAAAGTAATAAAATTCCTAAAAAATGGTAAATTTTGAAATATTATATATAAAGCTGTTATGTTTTTGTCAAGGTAAGTGTTGTCACTGTTTTTTCATACATATTTTCTGAAAATTTCTACTTCTTATATTATGGTGCCACAAGCATTTGAATCCTTGTTGAATTGGGTGAACATAATCTTTTACCAACCTAGCTAAGATTGTGCTGGTATGTTTCATACATATTTGAAATTGTTTACCATACCTAGTTATCAAAGTTCACCCAAGTCAATGCTAGGCTAGTTCATTGCCTCCTGTTTCGTTGCCTGGTGATGATACAAAAAGTCTTGATCTTAGAATGTGAAATATACCTATTTAACTCGATCCATTTGGAAGAGGAAGAATTGTCCTGTTTGGTTGGACATTTTAAACCATGCATGGCATACATCTAAGACTAAGTAAATTTTACAGAAAATAAAAGTTGTGGATCAACCGGTTCTTATGATCTATCCTTTGTATTTACAGTTTTTCACTGTTTCCTAGATAACCGGGAAATGAGAACTCATGAAAGATGTATTAATTGGACGGGATGTCAAACAAGTTATTAATAAGATGCTAATTGCTAAATTTGCTTTTGCCATAGTTACAAAAGCTTGGGTCCAAACCTGGAGAGAGAGTAAAGAAACCACCTTCTAGGTCTTAGTGTTGTCTCGTCATCTCCATCACTTGTATCATTAGAAGAAATCAGTTTCAGCTTATCATTATCATTTTCATTTGACCTTATTGCATATAACTATATTTTAAACACATAGTTTCTGTACTTTTCAATCAAAAGATGCAAAGCTTCCTGCTGCCCAGTTTTCTCTGATTTGGTTGACCAGCATTTAGTTTCGTATTTGGTGAATGTTATTACATCTCGTCATGTATTATGTATGCCGTGCTAAGCTAACCAATGCGATTTAGTCAATGCTCTTATGATGTGAAGCTCTAACATGGTTATGTGAATGTGGAAATTTTTACTTCCTTTGACACGTTATCTTATTAAGAGTACCACATCCAACCAATCAATTCTAAGGTCTCCTGCTGGTTGTAGTGGAGGAGACCCGGAATTGAATCCTGTGTCTTCAGGGTTGGTAGGTACGGGGTTTTGGGGGAAGTGACAAAGTGTTGGTAGGTATCGTGTAGCCCCTTTGCCTAACCCCAAAAGAAAAAAATCAATGCTAACAGTTTTTAGCGAATAAACGATTATTTAGAAGAATAATCATCACTTTTTGCAGCAAATTTTGTAGACAAGATGCTTATTTTTTAAGCATGTATCCTTGTTGGGTTTTTTGCAGGCAAAAGCAAAGTCACGTAGTAAGGCAGAGGCCAAGGCTCATCATTGAAAAAAAGATGGCTACCATTGTTGATTTTTCAATCCAAATAATGCATAACGATATAGAACTTCAGAAGTGATTTCCCTCGTGTAAAGTTTAGTTAACAATTTGATTTCTTTCACATCTCTGCAATTTTGTTGAAGTCATTTTGCGTGCCAAAACATGTTTACGGCCGTTATATCCTTCATTGTTTGGTAGCACAGTAAAAGATAATGTTCAAGGGATACCTTCTCAAATAACCTTTTTTTTTTATAAATTATGGCTATCTCCTATTTGAATCTTCATTTCAGATGTTTTACGTTTGCTGGATTATATGGCCTATGGCTTCCTATTTACAATCGAAAAACAATCAGAAGATGCTTAAAAATGGATTTTGGAGGGTGTTATAGGACTCAAGACAGTATATATATTAGGGTCGTTTTGTTTGAATAAAATTGGAATTGGAGTTGAACTTCATTGGAATCGGAATTATCTATTTCTCCCGCCTGTTTGGTTCAGATACGAATAGGATTCAGCTGGAATAGATTCTCATTGTCAAGGGAGGGTGAGGGAATGGCCCTTTAAATTCGCTCAACCAACAGCCAAATGGACCGTTAGATCATCTGTATCCCAGACTCATATTCTGCTTAAAAGAATCGCCATCTGAGTTATGATGATTCTTTTTTGAAGCCAATAACTTCTAAGAATCAGTTTTTGAAATGAGTTTTTGTTTTTTTGCCAAAAAAGATCAACTTACATTAATGAGTTGAAAGATGATACATGGGGTACAAAGAGGTAATTGATTCTGTAACTGGAAGCCTATTTCCCTCTTATGCGATTTCACAGCGAGTGCTATATCATTATTTTTTTTTTCTATTTATACAGTATATTTTGCATAAACCGAAAGACCATGAAGATCCAACACTTGATCCTATGTACCCCAATCAGTTGCATACTTGATTGTAGTTGTTTACAGTATGTATTATAGCCCTGGCATCACAAAATACTAAGGGCCCGTTTGGTGTGTCTTTTCGTGTGGTCTTTTGGTTGTTTATAAATTGGGAAGACCGATTTTTGGTCTATTTTCGTTTGGCTCACGGAAGATCTAGTCGCCAAAAGACAGAGCGTTGAAAAGATGTGAGATGCCCATTTTGGGCTGATTTCGGGAAGCTTCAAATGAAGCTTTCCGTGTCTTTTGCGTTTTATTCTTGCGCAGAAAGACACGGAAAGATGCATGGAAAGATGTTTCTATCAAACGTGCTTCGGGCTGCTCAGATCTTTATGCAAAAGCTCAATGCATCTTTTGCATGTTAGAACAACTAGAAGATCTTCCCAAAAAGACGCGCCAAATGGGCCCTAAGATATTGACAACCTTCATTTTATTTAGGGTCCGTTTGGTTTGTAGTGTGAATTGGAATGGTCATTCCCATAGTCTGTTTGGTTCAAACAAGAATGAGAATGGGAATTGAAATCAGCAGGAATGGGATTTCATTCCCAATGAAGGGGTAGGGAATGACCATTCACTCAAATGGGAGAATGTCATTCCAGCAGAATTGAGAATGAGATTCTGACCCAACTAAACAGTTTGAATCAAAATAGCCATTCCAGTATGAATTGCTACTTCATTAAAGTGAAATACTTAAATTTCAAATATACTAGTAATTAAGCACGTGCATTGCACATGAGAAATTTTTCATATTAATTACTTAAATTTTAGATATATCATAATTAAGATAAAAAATGAAAACTAACAAAAGTAAGAATATGATTAAAAAAATAAACTCAAATGCTTGTAATAAATGTGCACGTGCATTGCATGTGGAAGTTTTAAATTACAATAGCAACTATTATTACTATTATTATTATTTTTTATTTCATTTTTGCCATAAATAAAAATAAATTTTATTTTAACAATTATTTTTATTTATCATGATGAATATATAACATTATAAATGTTCTCAAATGCGACAGAATTTTGTACTTTTTCATTGTTTGTGTTCTATCTTTTTTTAAATATTTATTATTCAATTATGACATCATGAGTTTCTTTGAAAAGTTGGATCATTGACTCACCATCTAGATAAGAAAATAGCTTTACTTTTGGATTTTCTATAAATTATATATCATCTACATTATATAAATTTTTTTTACTTAACATACTTAATTTTTGTTTGACATAATTAATATATAATTTTTTATATATTCTTTTGATTACTTATACTTTTTTTATTTTTTAAAGATCTATTATTTAACTATTATATCATTGATTAATGCATTTGACCCAAACCACTAACCCACAACTCAAAAAGGAAAATAATTTGATTTCTAGGTTGACACTAAATTTTTTATTACATTTCTATCATTGATAATGAATGTATAATATTAGAGATGTGCCCAATATTTATTTTTATGAATATATAACATTGGATATGTGTGCCCAAATATTTTCTATTTTTGTTATTATTTATATTTTATAATTTTAAAAATTTTATTATTTGACTATGACATCATTTCATTTATACGTTGATTTTAACTTTGGCATTCCATTTTCATCATTAATAAAATTTCTTTTTACATTTCATACGTATTTTTATTTGGTACAATGAATATGCAATATTAGAGATATGTCCAATTCTTTTTATTCTTTTATTCTTTTTATTTTTTGTATTATATATTTTAATTTTTTATTATTTAATTATGACATCATTTATTAACCCATTTGACCCAAAATGGATGAATTGCTTACCCACCATTGTGAGGGAAGAAAATAGTTTTTTTTTTCAAAATATTTATTTTTATAAAATTAAAATTAATTTTTTGGATAAAACATTTCTTATCCATTAATAGTTTATTTCTAATTGGTTTTAAATTTAACATTTCATTTCCATCATTAATAAAAACATTTCTTATTTATCATAATTACTATTATTTAATATGTCAAATATATTATGTTAAAAATGTTCCCAATTTTTTAATTTCTATATTTTTTGCATTTTATATATTTTTGAATTTTATTATTTAATTGTGACAACATGGATTGACCTATTTGACACGAAATGGTTTAATTTCTTACCACTGCCTAGATGAAAACACTATTTATTTGGGTAGATTTTAAAAATATGTTTTTATGTTATTGGAATTATTAATTTATTATGTATAGATTTAACTAATAGAATTTAATGATGAGAAGAAATAAAAATGCCTTAAATATATGATTCAATGAAGGTGAATGCAAATTAATACCTTAAGTGTTGGATTTAATGAGAATAAATTGAATGCATTGAATATCTTATAATTGTATATTTTCTACTGGTTTTAATATTAATAATTGATTACCCTTTTGCCCTCATTTTTATCAATAAATTTAAATATGAAAAGGTAAATTTTGTCGTGAAAAAATTTCAGAAATATTACTAAGGCTATTCGTGCTTTTTAAAGTAGTATAGATATATTTCTTCTCTTTCCTCATTAAGTCTACATAAAATTAAAATGAAAATAAACTATTTTGTGCACTCACAACCAGAGAACATAACAATGTAAACCATTAACTCACTAAAAACAGAGACAGTGAACTTCTTTTCTTTTTTTTACTCCTAAACAGATCAAATGAACTTACTAATCACAAAAGATATATAGTAACATTAGAACCCTATAAACAAATAAACAATAACCATGAATGAAAGATTATGGTAGAAAGATTCTTAATCTTAGTTCAGAATACGCAAGGATGTTAAAAACTAAAAACATCGTGAAAACGAAAAACATTGAAAAGAAATGAAACAAATGATAACTATCTTATAGCAGCTTACAAATGGGTTGTTGATGAGGCAGGCATGTACAAATGTTGGTAATATAACAGAAAAGAAGCTCAAGCTTCATGTGTACAGAACAGAAGGAGAAGAGAGACCAGTCTGGAATGAGACATGCTAATGTTGATCGCCAATGTGTTCCGGAGTTGTTTTGGATTTTTCTCACAAATCCACTCATTAAATTAGATGCCACAATTAATTTTAAAAAGGGTACATTTTTTAAACTACCCTTATGGTTTAGTTAATTGACTAAGTGTATCCTGCTGTTTGAAAATTGACTGATGCTATCATTACTATTTCTGATAATTGACTAGCTCTACCCTTACGGTTTGCATTCGTTAAATTTGTATACACGTGACACACACACAAATATATATATATATAAATCTTATTTACCTTTACTGTCTTCTTCCTTTCAACAGTAAACCGAACTGGTTTGGTCCTTAAGGAACCCAGATCTGAGTAAGGTCCTTAAGGCATGGTTCTCGCTTAGGATTGACCAACCCTCACCGAGCCCAATCTGCGCCTCATGCTTTGGTTCTTCTTATCTTCATTAGTGATACTATTATGGCTTAAAGAAGCACCGGCTGTAGAAGTAACATCCTTGGCGAAGCCTAGGTACCAAGACAAATGTGGGGATGTCAGTATTCCCTTCCCCTTCGGCATTGGAAACCCATGCTCCAAAAGCAAACAGTTTTCGATAACTTGCAATCGATCTTCTACCCACCCCAAACCCTTCCTAAGCTTAAGCACTGGTCGCTTCGAAGCTCTGAACATATCGATGAATGGAGAACTGCGTATCAACGTCCCAACATTCTCGAGCCCCAACGAGACAGAAGTCCATGGACGCATCAGTTTAGAAGGAAGCCCATTTTTATTCTTACAAAGTGGCAATGTCTTCATGGCAGCCGGGTGCAACAACCGTGCTTTCGTCCATAACCATCAAGACAACAACACAGTAGGTTGCATCTCGACTTGTTCAGGCAGAGACATCGACGAAAAGGGTTATTGCAGCATCAACTGTTGCCATACCCCGATTCCATGGTCGCTGCAGATCATAGATGTGACAATTTTACCCGATTCCATTTTGAAAAATCAGAAGAAAGAGGATAATGATAGGGAGATATTCTAGTAAGGAACCCATATCTGACTATCTCTCAAGGAACCCATATCTGAGATATGAGAGATACTCGAATCTGAGATCCGGTCATCATCCGCCGTTCTGGCAGTTCCTGTGGTTCTAGTAGTTCTGACGAAGAAAATGAGAGGAGGGAGAGATCCGAGTAACCTATAGTAGAGGGTAAAATAGTATTTTCACATCTCCATTGACACACGTTAATGACAAAGAAGGATTAATCAATTGTTAGAAGCGTCAATCAATTTTCAAATAATAGGGGATTAGGGGTACATTTAGTCAATTAGCTAAACCATAACACTTTAATAGAATCTCTCTCTCCTTCAAAGGGAGGATGATTCTTGGGTCCACACTGAAGAAGAGATTGATTGAGAAGTCACTCTTTACGTTATAAAGGTATTTACTTCTTTAGCAAGCAATCCAAGAACTTGGGATCATGTTAATATGTAGGGGTGAGCATTCGGTTAAAAACCGAATTGAATAAATCGAAATTTTAAAAACCGAACTTTTCAGTTAAAACTAAATTTGAATAATATATACTCTATTATATATATTATGAAATCAATTTTCAGTATATTATATATTAATATATAAATATATAATATATTATATATCATATATAATAATAAAAAGTTTGACTAATTTAGTTAATCGAAATTATAATTCTAAAAATTGAAACCGAAAACTAATTTAACAAAAAACTAAAAAAAAACGAACCAAAAAAATCAAAATCGAAAATTTTGATTCAGTTTTTCGGTTTTAGCCAAATAGTGCTCACTTCTATTAATATGTCACGCCAACTACCTATCCCTCTTTTATCAAAGCTTTTAAGGTGGGTTCAAACGTTATGAAAGTTGTTCAACACGCCTTCACTCATTGATCCGGATTATTTTTCTCTTGTTATCCAAAATTATCCGTCAATGTATCCTCCTTAGGGTGTGTTTGTTTGCAATGTAAATATAGACTGAGGTAATTAAACACTCCAGTCCGTATTTGCTCACATTTGGATAGAGTGTAGTTTTATGTGAAAATCTATGCTTACATTGATAATCACACTTTTCCCTATACAACGATTAACAATTTTAAACCAATCAGTGTTGAACTCTATCAATGTACTTTTACATTGATAAATATTTACATCATTTAAACACAACCTTTTGGAATGAAATCTTTTTTTATACAAAAAAGGAAAAAAAAATCCATGCAACATAGATGGTCTTACAAATGTTTTATAGAATTTTCCTTTTTAGCAAAATTGTATTCATCTATCACATAAAATTTTAGATGTCCCCCTACATTTTGCCCATTTTATTTTAATTCTTTGGTTTAGATTCTCCACAATCTCTTTTTTATCATGAACTAGTAAATGTGCACATGTGTTGCACATGCCAATTTAATAATAATAACATCATGCCCAAACTTTTTTAGACAGTTTTTTATATTTTTTGTACTTTATATTTAATTATAACATCATAGGTTGGCCCGTGTGGCTTGGATGTTCAATAATCCCTTACCACCCTTCTATTGGATGTTCAATAGAAGGGTGGTTTATTTGCTATTCAATTTCAATTTTTATATTATGCTTTGATAATTAATATGCTTATTACAATGGATATATGATATTAGAGACACACCCAAAATTGTATAATTTCTTGTGTTTACATTTATTTTAGAAACATTGATATTTCATAATGACATCATGGATTGGTTGACCTATTTGATTGAGATAGTTGAACCAATGACCCACCTCTTGAATGAGGAAACAAGTTTGCTTCCTTGTTAATTTTAAATTTTGTGATTTCCATCATTAATAAATATAATTCTTGCTCATCATGCTTACTTTTTCTTCAATATAATGAATATATAATATTAGTGTTTTCTAATTTTTATAATATATATTTTAATTTTTTATATTCTATCTATTTTTGTATTTTTATTTAATTATGACATCATGGATTAACTTATCACCAATGTGTGATCTAACTCATCTATATTTTTCACATACTTATTTTTGTTTTGATATGACCAATATATAACATTAAAGATGTACTATTTTTTAACAAAGTTTCCTTATTTTCTATGTTTTGTATTTTATCTATTTTTTAAGTTTTTATTGTTTAATTTTGGTGTCATGGGTTGGTCCATTTGACCAAAAATTGTTGAACTTCTTACACCACCTATTTTGTTTATGGATTCATTTTAATAATATAAATTTTCATACCATTAAAATTATTATGTATAGATTTAATTAATGAGATTTAGTGGTAAGAGACATAAGTGTCTTAAATATAGGATTCAATAAGGGAGAATGAGAGTTAATATCTTGAATGTGTGACTTAATGAAAGGAAATTGAATAAATTTAACAATAGTACTAAAATTACATTTTATGTAAGGGCTACATTTTAAAAATAAGGGTATTTAGTTAAGAAAATTTCTAAAAACTTAACACTCTACTGGTACTTTTTATAGTAGTGTATAAAATGGCATCACACATATTTATATTTATAATATAAATATAAATTAACATATATATTTTATACATATACTTTTTTATCATATAATATAATTTATTTTATAAGAAAAATCAATGATGCCAAAAAGACATAGTAACGAAAGAACTTTGACCAATCAAAGCCCACCTCTTAATTTTGATAAATATCACCTGGTTGGTCACAAGTTTTTTCAGATATCATGTCTTTTCGATAGCATAATCAAGCCCGATTTTATTTATATTAAACATAATGTATTTAAATCAGCCCACTTCACCCATGATCAGCTCATATAAATTTACAAAACAGCATTCACAACAAAAGCCCATCCATGATCCTAGTCCAATAGATGGTATCATCATGAAAATTAGTTGGGATCTCTTGCCTGCCAACAAATACACTCCAAACACCCTACCAACATAATTGGACAGGGACAGGAGATCCCAACTCCATGAAAACATCATGAGTGTTGCTTGTATTGTAACTAAGGGTACAAATGGATTAAATCATGATTTGGTTTGATCTGAAATCTTGTCTTATTTTGTTGGATTGAAATACCACTCGAATTTTCAAATTAGATTGGATTGAATTTGGATCACCCCTTATTCGATTTCAAAGAATTTGATTTTATCACACACATACACACATAAATATATATTATTTTTTTTTATTTTTATTTATATAAATTGGTAAATTCTCGATTAGTACCTTGTATTTTGTGTCTAGTGCCACTTTAGTCCCCAAACTTTAAAATACAACAATTCAACACCTAGACTTTTAAAACATGACAATCTAGTACTTGTCATTAAGTGACATTTGAAAATGACACAAATACTCTTTGAATGTTATTTAATCTTCTTTATCAACCATCTAAAGTTGATAAAAAAATTAACAATCCCAAATCCTTGCTTCTTCCATTCAAGAAAGTTCGGGTTACGTTCGAGTGGGTATTCTGTTTGACTCCAACTTTATTAAATAGAAAAGATAAAGATTTGACACTATTAATTTATTTTTGTCAATATTTAAATAGTTGACAAAAAAAATTAGATGACACTTAAGAATATTTATATCTTTTTAAAATATCATTTAAGGGCTGATTAACAGCTAATTAACGACAGGTAGTGATTATCACGTTTTAAAGTTCGAAGACGAAAGTGATACTAGACCAAATTTGGGTACTAAAGGGAGTTTTCTCTTATATTTTTTATAATTTATTAAAAATGGAAAATTAAATGAAAATAAATCAGATTCAGATATCCGACATCCTTAACGGATTCGGATTCGAAAAATGTTTATGAGATTCAATGGGATTTTTAGATGGGGGGTTTATGATTTTATATTATCTGATCGGATCGACCCGATCCGTTTGCAGCCCTTAATGACATGGCCACCTGTTGACATATGGATTGGTGCTGCACAGCTCAACTGATGTGAAGATCAGCGCGAACCAGACGTCTTCTCTTGCGCCGCCCGCATCGCTTCAATTCAAAGTAGAGCTTCCCGTCCCGTCGGTGCCATTTGATTTGAGGAAAGGGGAAGAAAACAAATATAGGAAGAGGAGGAGATCAATCCTCACCGTAAGAGGAAGATAACTCCGGTCTTATCGTCGGATCCAAGCCAGAAAAACAGGAAGAAAACCAAAATGGCTTCAAATCAGGTGAGGGCCTCACACATCCTCATTAAGCACCAAGGCTCCAGAAGGAAGGCTTCATGGAAGGATCCAGAAGGCGACGTTATCAGGAAAACCACAAGAGATAGTGCTGTCTCTCAGCTTAAATCCCTCAGGGAGGACATCATCACCGGCAAAGCCAAGTTCGAGGACGTCGCTTCTCGTTATTCGGATTGCAGCTCTGCCAAACGCGGCGGCGATCTAGGTCTTTTTCTTTTCCTTTTCATTCTTACTCTGATTTTTGGATCATGAGTTAGGGTTTCTTCTAAGTGGCTTGGACTTTGCTTGATTACTTTTTCTTCCCTCTGGAGTGGTGAAGCTCGCATATTTATTTTCTGTTTTTATTCTTGCTTCTGGAATGATCACCGTAGCTGAATTTAACTGTTTGATTAGAGAGGTGGGGTTTTTGATTGATGCTTTGATGGTCAGATGTTTCCTTTTCCTATCTTCTGAGTGACTCATGCTTGTTGAAGATTAATCTGTTTATACTTTGAAATGGAAATCGAGGGTTTGGTAATTGTTGATTGGAATGTATTCTTTTCTCTGTGTTGTTCATTGAAGGCGATTTAAGTGGTTGTTTTGTTCGGAGTGTAGTCGTAGGAGGTCGGTTTTCTTAAATGTGAAACGTATAAAGGAGGGTTTTAATTGTATGGAGAAATTCATGTAGGTTCTTCTCTAGTGACAAAATGTTTCTAATTTATTGCTTATGCATCTAAAGGATGGTTTTAATTGTATGAAAATTAGAATTTTCATATCTTTCATGGAATTAGAGCAGGTTGGGAAAAATGGAGGGGTGCATCTTGACTTCTGTGTCATAGGAGAATACCACTTGGATTAAAGGGAAAATTCTATAGAACAGTTGTAAGGCCAGTAATATTGTATGGAGGAGTGTTAGGGGGTCAAGAAACAACATGTTCAGAAATGAGTGTGGCAGAAATGCGAATGATAAGATGGATGAGTGGAAAACTAGAAGGGTAGGATAGGATCAGGAATGAAGGCCATCCATAGAAACCTAGGAGTAGCTCCGATAGTGATCAAGTAAGATGAGAGAGAATAGACTAAGATGGTTTGGTCATGCGCATAGAAGGCCACCAACAACTCCGGTTAGAAGAAGCGATTTGTTACAAGTGGAAGGGGCAAGAAGAGCTTGGGGTATACCAAAAAGGACATGGGTAGAAGCAGTAACAAAGGATTTAAGTACTAATAATTTAAAAGTGGATATGACCTTAAATAGAATGGATTGGCAAAACAGGATCTATGTAGCTGACCCCATATAGTTGGGATGATGATGATATCTTTCATAGAAATGAATTTGTCTACCAGTGGTTGAACTTGCACTCTATCATTCTTCTTTCCCATGGAATTTTATTATTTCATTTCAGTTGGAATTAGCTATTTAATTGTGCTCTTTCTCAAAATGTCATGCCACGTTCAGTACTTGAGTTTTAAATCTAATGATTGACATCCATCTGTACTACATAAAGCTGCTATTTACTACATAAAGCAAGTATTTTTTGGATAATGGTGGCTCAGATTTTGCTGGCAATATTTTCTGAAGTGATCATTGTTCATATTTGTTGTCCCTCCAACATATGACATTCCTAATACATTCTGATAAAAATATTTCTTGTCAGTCTCCTTTCCATCTGATTGTGTTGAACTGCAGTCAGTGCCCTCATGTGTTGAGTACATCTCTCCTCCTAATGTATCATAAAATTAGGTTCAATTAAGCCTTTTGTTGACTGCATTTTATGTAGTTTTCCTTCATTTGAACTAGGCATGTGAGGATATGGTGTTACAGACTTAGATATATTTTCTGTCATTTGGGTGTACATTTTGGTAATTGGTAATGTTCTGAGTGCTACTTCTGCTGTTGCTTTGACAAAATGCTTATATGACTATTTCTTGTGAACTGTGTCTACTTTTGAACAAACCTTGTTTTAGTAAGTAAAGGGTGAGAGTTCATACCATAGTTTTGAAAACCGGACCGGACCGGATGATCGAACCGTTTGGCTGGGAATAGGTCAGGTCACCAGTTCCGTTTGGCCTTGAACCATTATTTTGCTAAAAACCATTGAAATGGTCAGAGAACCCCTGACCCAGGTGGTTGAACCGCTAAACCGTTCGACCTGGTCAGCAGTTCATGGTGTACTAAAATATTTATTTTTTTATTTCAAAGATCATTAGCAGAGAAAAAAAGTGATGTAAAGATGGGGGAGGGACTAAGATGATATCACTAAGATGAGAGAGAGAGGGAGAGCAGAAATGGTCGGGAAAAATTTGCCGCTGCTTTCTGTCGCCACCAGCCCACCACTGCTGCTGCCGCCGCCGGTGAACATCATCGGTGAGTATCTCTTCCTCCTCCTCCTTTTTCTTCCTTCCTTTCTTCTTTCTTTTCTTTCCTGTCCCAGCTGACAGCAACTCCCACTTCTTTCCTGTCCCATACATACATATCATCTTTTTTATACCCTAATAGGGCAAATAGATTAAACTGCCTGAACCGTTCGACCCTCGCTGACCCGGAAACCAGTGGTCAAAGCGGTTCCGTTTCTGGATTGATTTTTAAAACCTTGGTTCATACTTAAAATTCCCTCTGGTTCATTGGTATTGGGGATCTGTGTTACAGAATACAATCATGAACATCACTAGTTGGGGATTTTTTATTTTTATGTCTAATCAGGTGAATCTGTTTTGGTAAAAAACCTTGTTTTAGGTCAATTAAGTTGGAAATTTTTGTAGTCATTCCTTGGTAAGAAGTTAATTGTAAAGAACTCTCTGAATTGGCTATCTGTGCCATACAGAAATATATTTTCTACCAAAGAAAAGAACAAAAGAAATTTTCATTGAATCCAAGTTCTGAAAGCTGGATTGACTTGACCTATAGATTGAGATGCAGAGTTACTCTGTTGAGCCATTGGCAACCCCAGTTTACTGCCTTGCGCCTTTTTTGTTGGCACCTTTTCCTCTTTCTTTCCATTTATTTGAATTGCATGGACTCCATATGATGAGGATGTCTTGTTTTCTAGAATTTCATCTGAACCCAAGTTGACACAGTGATATTAAAGGAAAAAGCTTAATTTTTTGGGTATTGTTGTGATATATAGAATAGAGTCTTACTGATCTAGGCTGCATTTGGGAGTGCTTGTTGGCCTGAACGGGCTTTTGAAAAAGCCACTTTTTGAAACATGCTTTTTTAATGCAAGAGCCCTTTTTGTGCTTTTTCACCAAACAGATTTTTGATGGGCTTTTGGAGGAGAGAAATGCTAGACTATTTGACAACAAAGAACTAAAAGCAGAAATCCTCATTGAGTTAATTGAGGTTAAGGTTGCTCATTTGGTAATGATATCTGATGAATTTCACGGCATATGCATGGACAACATTCTTAGAGGATGATGGCATGTAATAGCTAATTTTGTTGCTGATAGGCCACAGAGAGTAATCACTTGGCACCCTCCTGAAGCTGGTAGTCTTGAATTAAATTTTGATGGATGTTCTCTGGGTAACCCAGGTGAATCAGGTGTGGGAGGAGTGGTAAGAGACCAAGGTGGGAACATAGCCCTAAACTTTTCAGGTGGGATTTGTTTTTGCAACGCTCTAACAGCAGAACTGAAGGCTCTAGTTCAAGGCCATAAACTGTTAAACTACACAGAATTGGAGGGATGTGCTAACAGATCTTTGGTTTGGGATGCCTTCTTTCTGGGAACTGCTCGTTCGGGTGGATTCCCAAATGTGCCAATTCCCTAGCTGACACTCTGACAGCTTGGCCAGAGCAGGTGTTTCAGACAAAGGTATGATTGGGGGATTCTAGGTCCAGGGGCCTTATTGTAACAGGGTTGCTTTTGCTAGGCTGTGTTTCTGTATGATCAGCTTTTTTCTGTTTGTCCCTGATGCCTATTTTAGCAGTTCAGGTTTTGTTTCTCATTATTAATAAAGTTATGTTAATTTTCATTAAAAAACAGCGATATTGACATGCTTGGTTGTATGGAATTGTCCATTTACTTATTTGAGTTTAGACTTTAGAATGTAGAAATGCTTAGGCTAACCCAGTGTGGCTGGGACAAGGCTTTGTTGAGTTGCGTCAAAAATGTAGAAATGGTCACTAATTCACCAGGGGATAATATCCCTTTACTTTTTTGTGTATTGCGCATACATATCTCAACTTTTTAGTTTGTTAGTATTCCTCCTTCATTGGGATCATATATTTGTCTTTGTTTGAAATGCTTGAAATGCAAAGTCGCACTTGGAGCTATATACACGGTACACAGACCCAATCTTGACCTCTTTAATGGGACAAATGCTTGATATCTTGCCAAATCTTTGGAGATCACTGTCTCCGATGGTGCTAAAATCAATAACCCACTCAGTGTAGTTGTGCCATTCTTGGTTTTTTATCTGCCTGGACCGTAGGTATATGCTATTACACTAGCGTGAATTGGCCCTCATCCAAAATCTGTCGCAATGATTCTTGCAGGTCCTTTTTCCAAGGGTCAGATGCAAAAGGCTTTTGAAGAAGCAACATATGCTCTTAAAGTAGGCGAGATTAGTGACATTGTTGATACTGACAGCGGCGTCCATGTCATCATGAGAACTGGTTGATTTATCAAGAAGTACTGGATGGCTACATGGTTCAGTGTGCATTCCGCAAACACAGACATCTTCAATTACTGTTGGCTCGTTCTCATCATCTGGAACAATTGAATTGAGACATTGATCCATTCCATTGTCACGTTTGTAACCATTTTAATTTTGTCAAATTGGATTCACTCATAAAATGTCAGAACTGTATTCTTGAACAAGACAAATTCGAAACAGCAGTAGCTGTGACTGTCTCGTCTATAAGTTATTTGGAGTGGATTTCTTTCAGTATATGATATTGTTGGATTCGCATGGAGAAAGCATTCATCCATGACGATAAAATATATGTTGGTTACGAACCGGACATGATTGGACCATGCCCATCAGTCTCTAGGCAAATACACAGTCAAGTTGCGACTGATACAGATGACAGGTTACCAAAATCCTCGATAGGGTCTTCAGACTGAGTTGACAGCCCGAAACGGTGACAAGTCACTGACACCTCATTTGGGTTTTTGTTATTGTCAATGTTGCATTTCTTTCTACACCTCCTACAGTCAACGGCTTTAAGCTAAGACTCCTCCTGCCCCCGAAACCTCAAGATATGAATCCATAGCTTCCCAGGTGCCCAGCTCTTTCTGATTCCTTTGATGCCAATGGATATAGCTTTTCTTTGTACAAGAAAAAACACGATATTGCTTTTCTGTAGATATTCACAAGCATGTAGAAGTGAATGAAGAAAAGAATATTCGGTTATAGTGCACCCTTCTGGATGCTTTTAAGCTTTTAATACAGGGCGAAGGCTTTTAAAACTGTAGCGGACAAGGGGGATTGTTTCCGGCCTTGGGAGTTGAATGGTCTGATTGTCTGGTGAGGCCTTGAATGGTCTGACTGTCTGGAATGGATGGTCCGTTTTGATACTAAAAATCATTGTTCGGGACCTTTGGATCAACGGTTTGATGATTTGGCTGTCTGAGTCAACGGTTTACCAATCAAATCAATGGTTTTTGACAAAAAGAAAAGGTTTTAAAGCAAAATGTAACTGTTCAGTTGACAATGAATGCATCAACCGGCTTTTGTTACCAGCCGGCAGCCGGTCCGGTTGTGAAAATATCATAACAATGAGTGTGCATCAACAAGCTTTCTAACGAACAAATTTCTACTGTTTTCTGACTTCACTATAACTAATGAGTTGGTTTGTTTGAAAACACTAGACAAGTATATAAAGAAGTCAATCAAATGTTTTAGTCAGTCCTTACGATCTCTTTCTGATGATAATCCGTATACCTTCTTGGTTCATTCTCTGTCTTAACTGATCACGACATTTTCTTGAGCAAACAGCAAATTCATTTGAGACATTGACTTCTCTTACCGTGTTCTCGTAGTAAATTTGATCCGACGAATACTTTATAAACTTTGTCTAGCGTTTACTTAGTTTTCCTGGTAACATTTGAATTGACCTCTTTTTTAGGTTGCATTTGGTTGCACCTAAAACAAATGGTCTTTTGAAAAGAAACTATATTCCTAATTTTCCCGATGTTTGACTAGAAAAACAATCCTCAATAAATTTGCCAAAAAAAAAAATCCTCAATAGGAAAAATATAAATTAGGGTTGCAAGATATTAATCAAGAGGACCAACACTATTCAGAGAATGAATTATGAAAAATTAGGAAAATTATTTTCTCACAATTAATACTCAAATTTAGAACATGCTTATTCTCCATAGCCGTTTTACATGCAACCAAACACCATAAAATAGTACTTTCTTGGAAAACATTCCTTTGTTTGAGAACAACCAAATGAAGCCACAACCAATGAAAAATAAAATCTTATATATTTTCTCTTATTTCAATGTTGCTTCACTGAATCACCATGGTTATCAATAAATCCAATACACGAGGCATCTGCATTCTTCAATGCCTGAATTTTTCTTTCCAGTGCTTATTAGTCATCTGGGTCCCTCTTGTTCAACTTTTCTTTCAAATTTTCGATTTGAGTTCTTTACATACTAGGTGCTTTTTTTTTCTGATAGATTATTGGGTGCTGTATTAATTTGGATATCTGAATCAACGTCCCACTGAGCTATTTTGCACAATGTTGTGACTTGCGAGTCGTAACAAGTGTAAAAGCTAGCATTTCTTCGATGCTGAATTTCTAACCTGATAAAATTGATAAAAAAGACAATCGACTATTTTTCACCTACTCGCCCATGATTATTGAGGGATGATTGCATGAACTTGTGGGTCTGTAACTTTGGAAGAGAAGCTCTGAGACACGTCTGAAGACACTGTCTTTAAAACGTTATTTGTCCCCACTCAGTTTCATTGAGTTTGTTGTTGGGTTAACGCAAATCCGTTCTCAGGATACAATAGAAACTTGGGCGAGAATCTGCAACCAATAAAGTTGAAGAATTTCTAAAGAAACCTTCTGTGAGACTGTAACAGATCGGACTGAGAGAGAGAGAAAGTGGATTTTGAAAATGTGTGTTTTTGAAATCTGATTCATGCTCCTTAAATAGTTTATGAAGAGGTATAAAGAAAAGGTAGGTGCTGGTTCAAAGAAGGCACCTTGAACAGTCACAATTTCAACGGTCAGCATCGCACCAAAACCAAAGCCGCCCTTCACGAGCCACACGGGTGCGAGCAAAGTGCACCTCATTGCATGGTATCAAACCCCCATACTATCCTCTACTATTTCTAAGGAGTGTAAATCAGCTCCTATTAAAATATTGAAAACAAAGCTTATAATTTTTCAATGTGGGACAAGTTCAAAACTGGATTTTGTAAGAGAAAAGCTAATGTGCAAGTGCAATTTCTCATGTAATTGACCAATCAGACCCATTGGATTTAATCTCTTATGAGACTAAAATCCAACACTTTTGGGCTCCAAAACAAGTTGCAAAGTAGATCAGGAAAGCTCTTAAATGACCCCGCTTAACAGGCTAATAGAATGCTAATGCCAAGCAGCTAGCAAGGCTGCAATTCATAGGTGCCACCTTCCATATGGATTCATGCTTGTGTACCCCATCCCCATTTGGGATGCGACTGCAGTCTGTACTCTGTACTGCATCAACAGCATTGTCAATTGTTGGAGTTCTACCATTCTATTCATGGGTAGATTCATATGTAATGCTTTTGGTCTGATGTCAGCATGCACCCTGTTTTACCCAATGTTATCCATTGTTTGTCTTCGTGACAGGAGAACTGTTCCAGTATTTGAAGCAGAGAATCAAAATATGAAAGAAAAAGCCACTCATTCAATTTATCTTTCCCAAAATTAGATGGTTAAATGGTACAATTTGCTCTCATTGTGAATGAAAATTTGTTTGTAATATCAAAAACATAGAAGTCAAGCTCATAAACATATTGACCGTATGTTATTTCTTTCGCCAGAACAGAAAACTCTAGCACAAAGCATTGATCCAATGAGTGTTGAAGATGAATAACCAACAGATAACTATTTTTCAAGGCAAAGTCACTGGATTTTCTCTTCTGCTTTCCTTGGCTGAAAGGGAGGAATGTCAACATCAATATACATGGTTTTTCAACATGCAAGCTCGTGGTTTGATATTGATGCAAAAACAGACAAAGCAAATTCACTACTTTGGAGGATCAGATTATATCCAAGTTACGTTCAAAAGAAAACATAAAAAATGTCTCTTTTTAAATCAGCATAAAAATAGTTAAAAGAAAAAAGACGGATGGGAACAACAAAGGATCACACCCATATTACATGCCAACAAAGATAACATACTAAAGTAAGTATCTAAAGCGAGACTGTTAAAATGGAAGAGTGCAAGACTAGAAAAGATAAAATGAGAAACCAGTTCATTTATGGGAGCCTTGGGATTTTGGAAATCCTCCAATATGTGCCAATATGAGGGGAAGTCAACCAAAATGTCTGTAATGCATATATAATGAAGAAGACCAACAGCATCAATAACAAGTTATGCAAGTTGAGGATTCTGAAAAGTTAGGAAACCGAAAAGGGTGTCCTTAGAAGTGTAGATTGCAGAAAGAACCGAGGACATAAAAATGAGAAAATGAAAGAAAAAAAGGTCAATACAGCTGCAATTGGGCTTAAATGATTGGAGTGAGGCTCAGTCAAGTCAAAAGTTGAGGTATATTCCATTACCCATGTTTATTCCTATTGACTGAATAATTTGCCACTTCATTCTCAGATTCTGTTCAATTTGACAGTGAAAACCAGACAAATGTTAAGAAGCACACTATTTCATTAGCCTGTAAAAGACACTACATTCCAGGTTGCGGCTCAGACTCGGGTTGAATCAGTGACTGGTGACATCATTAATTAAGTTAATAATAAATAAAAATTAATGACAATTGTAAAACATAACAAGAAAGGCAAAACAAATTGTTCATACCTTTTTTTTTTTGTTGGTTGATGCATATAATTTGATATTAAGAAATGGATAAATAAAAATGCATGAGGTACAATCATCTTTGGTTTTGCCTGTTTCAGTAATATTCCATGAGGTACAGTCAAAATGCATACTCCTAATGATTTGCAGGAGAAATTTACCAGATCTAGAAAATATATCCTTTTTTGGGTACCATGATTACTTGTTCTAACATAGTTTCTTAAGCATTGGGCTTATTTCAACATTTCTCACTGATGGATAACCCCTCTTCTACTCTCTTGTATGATTATTATTTTTTATAATTTTGTATTGTGTATGCAAAGTTTTTTTCTTAATTTCTTTATTTGATCAATTTGTTGAAATTTCAATTTAAAATGAACATTTGGCCAAATATGAAGTACAATTATGGTTAATATATCCCACAGGAAAAGAGAAGACATAATTGTCCCTCTCAAAGTCCACAAAAGCCTCCATGTAGAATCTAACACAGAAAAGGGGAGAAATACTTTTAGTTCTTATTTCTGGTTCTCATGAATTAACTTTAAGAATATTCCTACAAGTTTCAACTAACGTACCTTATTATTTACTCATTTTAGATGAGAAATTATTATTATACTAAAAAAAAACTAGTTCCACTACTAGATGGGATCATTAACTAGCTCCATTGTGTAAGGGATAAGTCTAAGGGCCATTTGCATAAAAATAACTTCCTGCATCTACAAAAAGATGGTCTACTGTCTGGTGCATTCCAACTTCTAGGAAGACTGCATGGACCTCATGAAACCCTTTCTCAACCTCACAATGACACTCTCTTCCAATATGTAATTTTGTACTTGTATTAGTACCTTCTCAAACAATTACTGCTTTAAGAAGACAGAGTACTATGATTTGGGTATTAGTAATACACTCGGTTCCAAGATAGCTATGCCAATATAAAATCAGCACTGATGTTGAATGTAGATGTAGAAGTGTCAGGCATGGCGATCCCAGACACTCAAACATGCATGCTAGCACATCAATAAATCCCTATAATGTAGGAAGGTAATTTCTTGTGTACACTTTAGTTCATAGTCAACAGGCATCAATCTATATGCAACTCCAAGAACCTTTTTGTCTTTTTGATACACAGTGAGATGCATACGGAAAATGAAGAATACCGGCCAGATCATTTGGGTAATTTCAGTAAAATTAAAATCTAGATTAGCCATCATTTTAGTTAGTATCAACTATCAAAGCCATAAAGAAGGGCTGTTACTTGTAAAATAGACAAGAAAGTGAATTTGGGATATGGTCTTTGTTATTCAGATTGAACAATAAGCATGCAAAGATAAATACCTTCACCGAACCAAGAAAAACCTCGATCAGAAAATAAACTATGAACATACAAATGTTCCCTTATCAAGCCACAAAAAGACCAACTTTTAGGCCATAAACACTATGAGGATTAGGTAAGGAAACAATAAACAAAACAGGGCGGTATGCATACAAAATTCAACAGTCAGTCATTGACTATTGAAGCAAAGGAAATAATAGGATGAGATACATAAACCAACGAACAACAGAACCAAAATCAACAGAGCTAGACTCTTTCGGCAAAATGCCTCAAACAAGGCAGCAATCAACAACCATTAGAATTCAAATAAAGAATCAGAGAAAGAAAGCAAAGTACCTTGGTGCCAGGGACACGCTAGTGGAGCTCCTCTTCGGGGACGAAGACAGGCCAGGCCGCACCAGCCTCGCAAAACATTTGTTCGGTCTCGAGGAGTTGCCCCTTCTCCAGTATCATGCATCGTCCTTATGCTCTGGCCCGAGGTGGACGTGGCATTGAAAACCTCTCCAGTACCATTCACGAATTTTACAGTTATCTGCGGTGGATGGTCGTCGGTCCGTCGCTTTACTACCAACTGACAGGCCGGCCGGTTCGACTCCTTGGCCTTCCGAACATTGCATTGAGCCAGGAACTCCATGCACGCTGCAGTTCGTGGGTCCAGCGCATTGAATTCGATCCTCACCTTCGATAATCGATAGAAACTTCAACATCCTGCCTCTTGCTTACTTATTGAATCACATGTACCTGAAACCGACCAGTTTTTTTTTTTTTTTTTTCTCTCATTAATTCCTTGTAGAAAACTTTTACCCTGCCGAAAAGTTTCTTCAAAGATGGCATTCTTAAATTGCCGGTTCGTTCTTATATCGAAATCAAAAGTTAGGCAAAAACAAAAGCTCTTTTTATGTCTCCATCAATTTTCTCCTCTATCCAATTTCAGGGATTACAAGCTCTTTTGAATCCTGAAATGGATGCAATAATCAGGAAGATCATCAGTTTTCTTAGAAGGTGCCGTTTGGCATGTACATGTGAAGATGCATGAAAAAAGTTGAAAATTTTCATTTGAAATTTTCCGAAAATAGCTGGGTTTCATGTGTTTTTTTGGAGTGATATCTTTTGGCAGTTAGATGTTTTTCCAATCATACGGGAAAAGATGAAAATGCGGACAATTGGACTTCTAAACAGTCGACAGCCTGCCTGAAAAGATGCTTCATACGGGCCAAAGGGTATTCACACAATCACATTTGACCACTCTGTTAAAAAAAGGGGTAAATTGCATATTAGTAGTTTGTAATTTGTGCCTAGTCTCATTTTAGTCCTTTAGTTTTAAAACATGTCAATTAATTTAGTATTTAAATTTTCAAAATGTTTCAGTTTAATCCAAAATGTTAATCATCATTAAATCTAAATTAGTTATATATATATATATATATATATATATATATATATATATATATATATATATACTTTACCCTCACTTCAGAAACTGTCATATACAAATGTACGTACATGTTTATTAATACATATAAAAGTGTAAAAATAACTTATGTCATCTAATTTTCTTTATCAAACATCTAAATGTTCAAATACAGATGAGCACCTTGTCCAACTGTATGGCCAATCGCCATCGGCTATGCCTTGTGACTCCACCCAGCTTCTTCCTTGATGGAATCGCCTCCATCGAACACATTCAACACTATGAAGCATTCTAGCCATTGGCACAAGCATCCTAGACAGGTAATCCACACAAAACTAAGATAAAAGGAAAATATTATCACTATATGTATATATAGATGAGCAAGAAAGCAACCAAGATGAAATGATCCATGCCCCTCTCCTCCGGAATATTATCACTATATGTATATATAGATGAGCAAGAAATTAAGCAATCAAGATGAAATGATCCAAATTGAAAATACAGCTCTATCAGGGGATTCCACGTTCCAAGAATTCACAGAAAATTATGAAAATCAGAAATTGAAAAAAAAAGGTGAAATGGGAAAAAAATTATCAGAATATATGATGAGTTGAAATCTTCTACCAACAAAACAGTTCCAACCCTCAACCAACTTAATTTAAGACCACACACCTCACCATAAGACTGGGATCCACCATAAAAGCGAGACCCACCATGTATGAGGTGTGCCATATATCAGTTTGAGATCATGTTGATAGAGGGTTAGAACGTGTTTTTGTTGGCAGGTGATCCGGACTCGATATACGATGGAGGAGTCTTGTATACTATCCATCTCTTTATAAATCTCTGAATTCAGAATCTCTTACGTGGTATGCCTTATGGAATGTTAGCCTTTTCAGCAGTACTGCTCCTTCCACAGAGATTCAAAATTTCCCATCAGTTTTTGGTGAGAAGTGCTAAATTGTAAAATCCTAAGGGTAAAATTTTAAACTACCCTTATGGTTTAACTAATTGACTAAGTGTACCCTTACTGTGTTTGAAAATTGACTAATGATATCCTTATTATTTCTGATAATTGACTAATACTTCCCTTACGAGTTAAGTAAAAAAACTATTTTACCCAAGGTTTTACCAGGTTAACTCAAAATTTACAACAGTAGCCGGAAAAACAAAGACGGTCTGAAAAGACCGCTCTCTCTCTCTCTCTGCAATGGACATTCTCAGGAACCTTCTCATTGGATGATGAATCGCAGTTGGCCGACAACCATTGGCATTCATTGGAGAATTCAGTCCCCACGGTCGCCGGCCTCAATTGAATGGCTGAGGCTCATCAATCAGGTGGCGAGCGGAGGGATGGAATGGAAAGACGTTGTCTGTTATGTACAAAATGCGGCTCGGTCCCCATCGTGGACTGGTCGTTGCTGAAGTCGAGCAGAAAGCTTTAAGCTTTCCTGCCCTTATCCACCTTTAGAAGCAATCCTTTCATCAGATCACCCAGCAGCTGCATTAGAACTCATGAAACACCACTTCACTAGAAACAGGAACACCACCTAGCCGGAAATTGTAGGAGCTCAAAAAACCTTGTGATTGGTGGTTTCGGTAGTGGCACCCATGGCACCCACTCAGCCGATAGCTGCTTCGTCACCTGGAGAGAGATGGAGCAATGGAATCAAATGGTTAGAAGGGTCCAAAGAGCTCAAACAACCTTGCGACTGCTGGTTTCAGTAGTGGCGCCCGCTCCTTAGCCGATAGCTGCTTTGTCGCCTAGAGCTGCCAAAGAGTTGATGAAGAGATGGATGCAGTTCCAGCTAAGAAGGCATCTAAGACAGAAGACATTATGGGCAGAAAACAATGAACAGGGTTTGAGACATTGCCGTCGCCGAAGATTCTTTATAATTGTGGAGGCCATATTAGGAAAAAAGCTACTGGGTTCAAAGTTAGGAACTTGGCAATAGTGTTAAGTGGCATGAGTTTGTAATTAAATTGTTGAATTGGGTTTAAAAATCAAAACCAAGGATGGTTTCTTTTGTTTCATCAGAATTTAGAAGTGGTGACGGCCGGTGAGATTTGGTGTAGTTTTGCCACCAAATCATTGTACACATCGTTCCAGACATGCCACTATTTCTTCACAAGCATTGTTAAGAAGAAGAGAAATTCAATTAACAAAACATCAACCCACGAGCTATCAAGTAAGAAATGACTGAAAGAAATTGCATAAACACTTACCTTTGCACAACAATGAACGACCTTCACTTTGTCAAGCTCTGCGTTCTCAGGGTGACGCCACAACATTGCCAAGACCATATTCCAGAAGAACATATTCCAGAATTCTTAACTCTGCAGACAGGGTTGGAGGAGTGACTTTCAAGGTTTTCAGGAGATCGTCGCAGCTAGTTGGAGGAGTGACTTAGCTGATAGCTGCTTTGTCGCCTGCGCTCGGTTTGAGAAAATGAACAGGACTGGGCAGTGGGTTTTGCTAGGACTGAGCGGTGGGTTTTGAGAACTCGTGATACAGTGGCGATGGTGGAACACCTCCAAGAAAATGGTGAGAAATCATCGATGACTAGGGGAAGGAGAGGAAGAAGAAGGAGAAGAGAGAAAGAGAAGAAAGAAGAAGAGGGTTTGGAGTCTTTGTTTTTCCAGGAAGAGAGAGCACTCTGAATTCTTTTCAAACTCAGACGGTGCCGGTGTCGGAGACGCTGTTCCGAACCAGTGAACCAACCTATGTGGATGCTCGTTTCAAACCTCTGGAGATGTTGACCAGTCATTCTGTCGGAGCTGTGCAGGTGCTGGTGCTGGTGCCGATGTTGGAAGTTATAATAAGGATAAATTGGATATTTTAGGAAGTTATAACAGTAGTGTGATATACATTTGAATGGTTTTTGAGGGAACATTAACAACAAAGAAAGTATTAGTCAATTGTTATAAACATTAAAGGTAGCGTTTAGTCAATTTTCAAACAATAAAGATACATTTAATCAATTTAATAAATCATAAGGATAGTTTAAGAAATTTACCCAAATCCTCTTCTAAAATTCGTGAAAATTACAAATTAAGTAAAAGAGGAGTAACCTGCTTTATCTGAACTTGTGTAGCAGCAAGCTTCATGATTGAGAATAGAGGCTTGAAGGAGATGAGAATGCCCACAAGACGAGAGAGTAGTTTCTCTTACCTACCCGGGACAGTACTCCAGCTTTCCTTCCTCGAACGCAGCCATATTTCCTCCGAAGCCCAGCATAACAGTGAAATAAATTAAGAAAAACACAGAACCCATTTGAGACCCTGGCCGACAACAGCGGGACTACGCCATTAAAGTTTGGAAAGGCAGCTCCTCAATTAAATATGAAGTTGGATAATCTTCGAATTTTCACCCGCTACAAAAATCATTTCTATCTCCCTGGTTCGTCTTATTTCGAAAGGTAATAGATATTGTTAATGGTAAAAACTAAATTAAGACTTTTTCAGAGTTTAGGTATTAGATTGTTATGTTTTAAAATTCAGATATTAATATGCAATTTATCTCAAAAAAAATATTAAAATGGCGTTTTATTGTTTAGTAGGAGGATGGGTACTCTGGAGCTACCAATGGTAGTTTCATCAAGGCTGAGCCGAAGAGACACTAGCCGAGGATGGGTACAACCACCATCTGTTCCTCACCTCTCTGCTTGCTGTTCTTCATGTTGTTCTTCCTTTGACGTATACTACTCTGGAGCTACCAATGGTAGTTTCATCAAGGCTGAGCCGAAGAGACACTAGCCGAGGATGGGTACAACCACCAACATAACCCTTGTTGCTTTCGTTGGACTTTCACTAGAGATTGAAGTGAAGGATATTTTTCGGCTTTTGACATTATGTGCTCAAAATGACTGACAAAGTGCTAAGGGATGGATTTGAGTGTATATTTCCCAAAATTTAGGGTACTAAAATGTCACACTACCCATAAAGAATAAGATACTTATCTGGCTATGCCCCTAAACAGAAATCAGTAATAGATTCGGATACTAAGGGTCCATTTGGTTTATAGTTGGAATCTGAATGACTTATTCCCCCTACCTGTTTGGTTCAGATAAGAATTGAAATCAGATTATGATTGATGATGTTTGGTTCATCAAGAGGTTGGAATCAGAAACAACCATGATTTCTAATTTTACCCCTATAAAGAGATTAAAATCTATGAAAATCCAAATCCAATACAATCCAATTAACATGTAAAGAGATAAACATATAATTTGAGATTCAATTAACATATAAAGAGATTAAGAACATGAAAAAAAAAGAAAAATGTACATATTGTTTTTGTGCGTGA